CAGGCCCAAAAGCCACAAGAGTCATGGAGGAGCATTCCAGAGTAAGAACTAGGGTTCAGGGCTATATTTTTGCATACATGCCCACCCAGCACAACAGTGGCTATTGGCAGCATAAATTATTCATACTCCTAGCAGAAAATCTGCACCTTGGGGAGGTGGGGAAGATATAGATATATCTCAATAAGCCCAATTATTGGATTAATCTTCCTTCATTGGCAAAGAGCTGAGAAATACCCTTCCCTCCTCTTCAGCAATTAAAACCAGAGGGAATTTCTGAAAGGAAAAAGGGAGGAAATCCACAAATTTCAAACACTGAGCAAAGAATTAGACTGGCTTATCAGCAATATTATTTAACTTAACATGGCACCCATACAGATCATGTCACCCAAACACCAGAATCCATTTAATCATTAGTGTGAAAAGAGAAAACTAGCACAGACAGACTCAGCTGAAACAGTAAATCAAACTTCCAATTTTTTTCCCTCTCTTCAAGCTGATAAAACGTACCCGATGGATGGTTACTATCTACAGGTCTCTGCACTTCATCCTACATCTCATCTTCCTGTATCCTCTCTGCTTCTCATCTTCCTTCTCATTGTCTCCTCTCTGCTTATTTGCTACTTTGTCTCATTCTCAGCTCTTAGTTACTATCTCCTTACAGGAAAACCCCTACACAAGGGGCAACTTCCGGCTTCCAGCTCCTCCAATTAACTACCCTCCTTCAAACCCACTTCAGTGAAGCTTGCCAGCGGTCATCTCTTCAACAAAACAATGCCTCATTACTTTTGCATTTCAGCTGTTGCCCCCTACATTGTTTGTCTCAAATAAAGACTAGTACACTTGCTTTCTACATATTATGAGAACTATGGACTGAACAGTTTATTGTGCTCTCATTCAGCAGCCATGACTAACACACATGTTTTGCTGCCAAATGGAGTATTTAAACATTACTGTGGGGGAAAATAGCTCATTTCTAAGGCTAGAAATTGAAGAATCCTTCTACCACTCCCACCTCCACCCCAACAGAGATTCAAAATGGCTGTCACACTCAGGTTATATGACAGAAGATGCCCACACCAATCTAGCGGTAAACATATCTAACAAGAAAAACTGTCATTCCCAACTCTAAGTTTATGAATTTCAAGTCCAGATGAACATATAGGAAATTTAAAAACCCAATATCATAACAACAAAAAGAAACACCACCTAGAGTTAAAAGCTTATTTCCAGCCAAGCACCAGAAGGATCTTTAATAATGTGTTATATCTCATTCTTAAAAACATTCTAGAGTCAGCTGAACTGATCTGAATTTTTTTTTTGTTTTTTAAGTTATGACCTAAACGGGACTGTCATCCCAACCAGAATTGAGAAGAACCAAAGAAACGAATGGAAAGTAACTTCATTTTCCATCTCATTAACAATTATTTCCAAGAGACGTGCACAACAGACATGATAGCGGCAAGTTCTGTTCACAGCTACTTTCCGAGTTACCGTTCTTTATTACAAACCAGCATGCTTGTCTGATCCTTCCCTACTTCCTTGAATGTATCATGTTTGTCAGTCTATCACCAAACACCACTTGCTTTTCACCTACTTTCCACTGACAGCACAGACGCTGTATTTACTTCGTCAAAGGCCTCAAGAATAATTAACTGAGGTACTCACCTACCTGGTGTCTTCATGTCTGCTGTGAAGTTATTTACCGTATATTGCCAGTCAGTACCTACACAATTCACTGATAAAAAAAACTGTTCAAGAAGCCACAATATTCTCTATTAAGAAACAAGTCATCTAATGCATCACATTCACCATAATAGAAGCCATTTTGCAATATCTACACAGTATATTAGAAATCTAGCTTCCTACAAAAAAGTTATATTTCCTGGATGAATGTAAGAGACTGGAGGAGAATCCAATGCCAGAAATCACAAGTCTGGAATCTGCACCATTGCTTCTGGCAATCGAATGTCACCTGGTCAAACAGCAGTGTATAATCCTCTCAGAGGATAAAGCAGAAAATAGCTGCAAGCATCATTATGTTTAATAGATATTTTTCTCTTAATGCTATTTTTCACTGACTAGTTTTATCATAGTGATGTTAAATAAGATGTGATTGCAAGTAATTTAGTTTTAAAAAACAAAGCTTCCTATTGTAATGCATCAATTAAGTTGTCTTACTTTTATTGCTAGATTGAGAGACATCTTTTATCACCCTTTTTGGCCATGTAACTCTTAAGGCATCTTGTCTACTGTGTGAGGATGATCCCTTAGCAAGCTACACCTTGCCTTGCTTCCATGGACATCAATAAAAATAGGACTGGGCCCTAAACAATCACATACTACCATTTGTTTCATTCGCAATATAAACTGAATTAACAGCTTTCTTCTATCAGATCTCTTTCTTGTTTTCTCCCCATCCTATAATCTTTAATGCACACCAAATGCTAAAAAAAAAAAAATCTATAAATTTGCAAGCATTCAAGTAGTTAACTGTCTAGCAGATGGTAACCACCATTCCGGTTATATCAGCCATTTCTATATGAGATATGGGATGTTTCCTTTTCTGATACAATAATCTCTCAATGGTCAAAATGCAAAGTTCAAGAACTGTTATTTAGATTTGAATACAAAAGAAAGGAGGATTATCCCAAATGAAAGCACCCTGCCATAAATTACAAGACAGAAATAAAATTAAACTGCCAGCAGAACACAAAACTCCCCTGATCTTCATTATGACCCCTTGACAGGATGCAATACCATTCCAGTCTTCTGTGGACTGACTGATTTTCTCCCATCAAGCTAAATCTCAATAAAGAAACTTTCTGTATCTTAGCATTCCTTCCTCATTTCCCCAAAAATGGCTTTTAAGGAGACCAAATCAGGCTTTTTACATTTTCTAATAAAATCACTATTATTAAATCAGAAAATTCCTCATTATACTACAGCACTGTCAGTTCAAGCAAATGAAATTTGTTTAAGAAAGAAAAAGATTTCACTGTTGAAAACTACTTCAGCCAAAGCCCATGATATCCCCACCAAACGCACATCACTTAAGGCTATGAACTTTCACAAACTTGTTTTCGGTCTTATGCTATAACCAATGATACACTAGGTTTTCAGAGTACAGTAATACTTGACACATCACACCGCAAGTGTTGATTGTATGTGAATATGTATTTCTATCGTGGCTCAAACAGCAATAAACAAGGGGACCTTATTCTTTTGCTTCTCTTGTTAAAATAAACTAAATGCCAAAAGTGACTAGGAGAAGCCATTTTCCTTCTCAACGTAAGCCTTAATTTCCACCATTGCAAGCAGCCAACTGTCCTCACAGTTTTAGCGATTACAGTTTCATTCCATCCACTGCAGGATTAAGCCTTTTGAATGGTATCACAAAGTGTCACTATCCTAGATCGAAGGTGAGCAAGGAGATAAATGGGTAGATTTTAGGGTAACGTACTTACCTCATAGTCCATTTGAGGTCCACTATCTATTTTCTCCCTCTTCCCTAAGAGGATTTCCCTCCTAGCGAGGATACTATTCAAGAGTATTGCGAGGGGGTCCCCCCCCCCAATGCATTGGCAACTTCAGTGCACTTTGTGCCTGTTAAAATCTTCTTTAAGATTATATTACAAATGAGTGCTGCTTAAATATGTCAGGAATAAACTGAAATGTTTGAAAGGAATTACTCTTCAAAAATCTACAAAACACAAAGAACAAAGTCTTTGCCCAGGTCCATTACTTCGGTAAATCCAAGAACAGAAGAGTAATCCTGTTGTTTAAGCATTAAACACGCATACATGAGGAACACTAGAAGTGTTTTGAGAAGCAACAGCAGTTTCTGTACAATCCCATTAACAAATTTGTGTTTCATGTTCACAGTTTGTTTTGGTTTAGAGGACATCCTTCTCAGTGAAAGTAAGTAGAATGTTAGATAAGAGTCATTAGTATTTGCAATGCACAGACTGTTCTTCAATGCCTACTTTGCTCCTCTATCTCTTGCGTATCTGAGATCATAATCAGTCCTTCAGAGTTTACAGTGAAACAGGATATCATCTATAATAAATTACAAACAGTAGCTAACACTTATTAGAAGAACAAGATTCTACAGTCTTGCTTTCAACTGAAAATTTTTAGAAGTAGGCTTAGGGTCTGCTCCAATTGAAGCCCATGAAAATAAGACCATTACCACATTTGGAGAAAAAAACCTGCTTATGCCAAAGTAAACTGTGGAATTCCAAATTTGGAAAGTGTAACCCTTATACAACAGCCCAGTAAAACTTAAGGATGAAGTCAATCGGTTCTATTCAAAACTGCTGTAAAATTCAATGCAGGTTAAAGAAAAATGTCTCTTTTCAATAGGTTTTTTGCACAATCCTATGGAATTCTTTATGTTGAATTAAATTTTAGAGGCCTTCTTCATAAGAAGAGTTTTGTTTTAAGAGTTAAAAAAAAAAATTTATGCCTAGATTGTATTAATTCATTTTAACACACCATCTGGGAAGATAATATCCCAGAACTTTGAAGATCACAACTGTAAACATGCAAGGAAGATGGGGTAAAGGAGAGCACACTTACTTGTAACTTTGCTATTGGTGAAGCACTGTTGGACTCATTCTCCATTTTTTCTCCCCACAGAAAAATGTTGTTTTGCTTGTTTTCCAGCAAAGAGCAAATAAAAACAATGCAAACTTTGCATTGTGTATTATTTGGATTGATGCTAAAAGCTTTCGATAGACTTACCTGTTCATTATTCCTCCATGCATACCAAATGTGTTAAATAGAAGATAAATGTCTATAAAAACAGTACCACTATTTTAAAATAGCAATATAATTTGATAACAATTAAGACAATTTGATATACTTTTTTTATCCTTATCCAATAGAAAGGACATGCATATAGCAACTGAAAATATGAAAAGGTGGAAAATATTTCACTTTTGGCAGCACAGTATAATTCTGCTCATACTGCACTTGAGAAACCAAACATTGTCACATACCTTAACAAGTTGAAACTGAGGTCTAGCCTTTTTGCAATACCTCCGTATTTTCTTCCTAGAAATTCTGGAATTTCTTTGCAATCTTGACTAATGAAGGACACCTGCAAATTAAAAAGAGGAACTATTTAATAAATGAACAATTTATAGTTTCTCATACTGCTTCTTCTCATTGATCTAATGACATGGCAAATAAAACAACAACAGTCACTACTACCTTCCAAGCTACATCAGCTTCAATGCTATGGACTCCACCCAGAGTCTCATTTTTCTCCCGCTATGATCAGCTTAACAATCATTAATTCATAGCCGAATGTAAATTGGGTTGGGATTTCCTACCTTGGGGAAATCTATGTTTGCTGACATGTTAGTAATTTAATTTAGAATATAATATTTCCCATTAATACTGGTCAAAAGTGAATAAGGATTTTTGGGTGCCCAATTTGAGGCACCTTAGATAGACCTGATTTTCAGAAGGCTCAACACTTTCTAAACCCTTTGATGCATCTCAGGTCAGGCTCCCAAAATGTGATGAACCAAAATCATTGTTACTTCTGAAAATTTAGCCCAGAATTTCAAAGCACTGTACGGTCAGTCAGTCCTCACAACATCCCTGAGGCAGATATTATCCCCATTTGTATAACCGTGAAACATCAGAAAGGCCAAGTAAATTGCCAATTACCAGTAACGAAGCTAACATCATAGCAAATCAGCTCCAAAACTAAGCTAACCCCTCAGAAGTTCCTGGTTCACAGTCCTGTGCTCAGACAATACCGTGCCCTTGTTTATAATATTTTTTAGGGAAACTGTTGGTAGCAAAGTACGTAGGCTACTAGGATTTGTCTCTGAGCCAGGATGAAGTGGCCAATGATACCTCCACAATATCCCCACACGGTAGGATGGCAATGTTTATATATCCTGCTACACTCCAAAAATTGTGGTTGAAGTCTTAGTGGGGAGTCTTGGAAGGAATGAGACCTAAAACAAAGAGCAGGAATGCCAGACAGTAGCTGTAATGAATTCTAGATCTAGGCTGGATCATCTCTCCAGTAAGCCACTTACACTGAGGAAATGGCAATCCTGACTAGCTACTAAAAATCAATAGAATTATGAAAAAAATAAAAGCTGACATTTGTAAGTTTTGCACTGCAGGAATCCTGCCTTTTATGACAACTTGCTGCTTAGTTGGGTCTCACAATATTTAATTCTAACCAATTGAAATGCTAAGTTAGAGTCCCCTTTACACTTGGTCTACAAAATGCCCAACCATTAAAATTCCAGATAAGGAACAAATTAACAACAAAAGTAATTCATGTTCTGTTTTGATAATATTTCATGTTCTCTGAAATATAATCAACCCTATGGGACAACTTGCCAATGTATTCTTCACCTTTACAAATCATCCCTGTGTTTCATCCAGTCTTAAAATGCCTGCAATCTGAGAAAACAATATTGCATCCCCTTTAATTCATTCTTATTCAGTAACTTCAACTGAGAAAGATAGCTGACTACAGTGAAGTAATTTTTTACTTTGAATACATGAGCTGAACAATAGAGACCTCAAAGTTCAGCCTAGCAATTTCTTCCCTCTTCTTCATGACATCTTTCATCATGGCTCTTGCAATAAATTCTAGTACCAAGACACAGACTTGCCTTTTAGAACTACAAGGAGGAAGAAGAAAAGGGATTTCTTTGGATAGCTGACATCCTATTAACTTGGAAATATTGGAAGCCCTCTTTTAAAAAAAAAAACAAAACAAAAAAACCCACAATAAATATCATCTTACATGCATATGTCTTACTTGTATGCCTTTCATCCCAAAGGACCATAAAGCACTTTACTAGATGTCTGTGCATATGCATGTATCTATTTTAATAAATAGATGATTCAGTCAATCCACCACTGAAACGCAGCCACCTCTGAGGTGAAATGTACACTACGATTTTGCCCCCAAGATCACAAAAGAGATCGGGACAGCAAGTGAAGGATAATTTCAGTAGTAGAAATAAAAGGGGAATTTGGTGGTCTCAAGTCTAGGGGACACAGTAAAAGACTGGGAGTCAGAAGATATCTATTTTAATCCCAGCTCTAGCATCAATTCACTGTGTGGCCTCAGTCAAATCACTAAAGGCCTAATTTGCTCAACCCATCTGAAGATTCGACTCTTGACCTCTCTCTGACCAGGCCGAGTGCATGCTCCCAAAGCGTGGTGACATTTCCATATTCTTTAGCCTCTGTATTGGTAACCAGATGGGTTCCTAAAATTAATGGGAATACATGTCATTTAGACTCTGCCCTTCCTCTTCCTGTCATTTTTTGCAGGGGGGGGGAGCAAGGTACCTCAAGAATGATGAACTCCTGAGCACTTGTACTTCCTTCAGGATCAGCTGGCATTCTTTCTAAAACAGAAGGGATCTTAAACTTCGGTATCCTAGTCAAATCCAGCTTGGGTAAAGACAACACATTCTGCTCAAATTATGCTAATGCAAAGTATTATACTATTAACACAGTGTTTTACCAAGGATTTAAGAACGTTAATTAAAGCCTCTCAGCACCTTTATAAGGTATTATCTCCATGAAACTTTGGTTCACAGACCTGTGTGGGGATGTATCATCCCTACACCAACCTAATGAAAAGTTCCATGAGGAGGTAAGAGTCACGATGGGACACTTGCCAGGTAATAAATCATGGCCTTATGTAAGGCCCCCTGGTGGTCTAGGATTATATAAGATGATCATGGCCTTATGTAAGACCCCCTGGTGGTCTAGGAATTATATAAGATGATCATGGCCTTATGTAAGACCCCCTGGTGGTCTAGGATTATATAAGATGAGGTAAACAAATCATGGCCTTATGTAAGGAACGGTTGAACCAATCGGTGTGGGGCTATACATGTGATAAACACATGATTCTCCTTCTTGTCCAATCCGTAAATGTGTTGTTATAGCCTAATTGTGTTATG